GTAACTCTGTTTGACCTACTTAGTTGACCAATTTTTTACTCCGTTAACTTTCTACGTCTAATCGAATTCATTTCTGGTTGTGTCCTTGTCATGTTACGTAACCATGTCCAACTCACTTTCCACAACGGCTAATCATTTTCCATTACGTAACTGTGTCTATGCTCACAGTTCCCTCCTCCTCTGCCATCCATACCAAAATGGCTTTTGTAATGACTCAACCACCCTTCTGCTTTCTGCCTGAACCCTTGGTATTATGTAAATGTTCAGGTATATTATTATTCTAATTATTGTAATAAAATTCGACTTAATTAATGTGCGTAGACAGGTGATTGGGAGCGCGCGAAATTGATGGCCAATAGCAAATCCGCTGATGTTGTATTACTTGTTTTATTCAAAGTCTTGAATTCCAAAAAAATATTACGTAGACAATAGGAACCAGTATCTGAAGGTTTCAGTTTTTCAACGTAGGTCAATCCACAGGAAATCCCTCTGAAAATTTTGTCCAAATAATTTAACAAGTGATCAAATTCAGTGGTCATCTTGAAGACTTCGTTTGTAGGATAAAAAAATTAATGTTTCACACGTGAATATTCACTGAAGTATGGAGCTTCTCTACGGAATCGGGATCGCTCCATCCGATAGCTGGTATAGTGAATTGACCGCTAGACACCGTTGATCACATGACATGAGCAAATGGTAAGAATGTAACTTGGGAAATCAATCTTGAGCAGGTTCCAATTTATAAGCACATAAGCAGACACGTGTAAAAGAAGAGGTTTGAAGCTTTGAAAAATAACTGACAAGGATACATACCAAAAAATGGGAACATGCTGACTGAACATAACGGTTCCTATGTCCTCTCTTTTACTTTTCCATTGATTGTTATTCTCGTGAAGAAAAATACTGAGGGTTTCCGAAACGTTGTGGAATAACTATTGGTATTGTTCTATGGATGGCACATCTTGTTTTACTATTGTCGCTTATTCCTCCTCAACCCAGTTGATGTCCGGAGTGGATAATTTACCACCATTTATGTAAATTTAACCCCTCCTCCGCCCCCCCCCCTTGTCGCTCAATCTGATTGGCCGAGGCTAGTTGATCACCAGTTTGGAACGGTTATGATGGTCCTCTGTTGGTAGATGTCGTCCAGTCATGTGACAATGGCAAAACTGCTGTGCATATTACTCGATCACTGGTCAGACTGACGGTGTGTGGGTTCTTGCTCATGCTAGCCGGGCAATTGCCGTGTCTTTCTATGTAGCTAAATTACACGATCAATTGACCGATCGATTCGAAACCTGTCATAATTGCATGCGTTTTTTCTAACATCTAAGCACCGGGGGAAAGAATGAGAGAAAAAGTTATATTTGAAGTGCTGTCCGAATTCAGCTCATCAGTGTTTTGTTGTTCACCAACTGTCGGAAGGTGAATAATCAACATTCATCCCTAAATTCATTCATCTAATAAAATACTCTGTTGTGATTATGAACAAAGCATTTTTAAATAATTAGTATAAGAATTGCGAAACAAGGGATCAAGGAGAAAATGTATGAATAAGAACTCCGTTTTGTGAAGTTCGGACAGATATTGTCGATAATTACAACTTAAATATGCGAAATCAGATGTTTTGGATCATAATCATGTTATTAGGTCCGACAGAAATTTCCGATTAGGTATCTGAAGTTATACGCAAATGCTGCTCTTTCTTTGCATTTGTTCTTGAAAGTTGTAAGTCCCAGTAAAGTTAGACTGGATGTCTCAAACGATGGATTTCTCTGAATGAATGAAAAACGCACATTTTGGGACACGTACGCAAAATCATCACCCTACTGTGTGCATAAGTAACACGTTTTTGTTGGAAAATCGCAAATGGAAACTCTTAGCTCATATGAACGACATGAAATTACCGAAGGTTTACTACCTATAGAAAATCACTAATAATAATTTAAAAATAATTTGTCAGAGATGACATTCTGCTAAAGCACGGCAGTGCGCCAAAATGCATCATTTAGGTAATGTATTCCACTGAAAGTGACCTTGAATCGAGAAAACTTATTTATGCGATGAATGTGTTAACGGTTGGGGTAATTTCTGAGATGAACTGCCATGTTACTCGGACTAATGCGGGGAGTTGAAGTCAAACTTGTACAGCTGCTGTTAAAGAGGTACCTGATTCATGAAATAAGAGTATCATTTGAGGACAATCAATCCTCTGTTGATTACTTATTAGCTGATCTGGGATTATCATTATTCCAATCAACGGGAACACTTCCATGTTGGGTTAATACATATATACAGTCAACCGTTGTCAGTTGAGATAGGTATATTTTGTGTTCAATGTTCTGAAACAGCCTCACCAAGATCGGATGAGGTATTCGTGAAACAAATGAAATGAGGGTAGCGGAGTGTGTTTATTTAATGATTTGGCACACACTAGGAAGAATTAAAGAGCTGTTTCTATCTGGTTTTGACAATCAATCAACCTAATTAAGGATTAAGGTAGGTACTTAA